TTTTCCAGTCTTATTTTCTGGAAACATGGCGCAGTTAATAAATTTTATGGGGCTATTGATAATTCCTATCAAATAAGGGGGGAAGAGTTTCCCGAAAAGCCGAAATTGTTATACTCGGGAACTTGTACGTCAACAAGCACGAAGCATGTGAATTTAAAATCTCCTCTCCTGTTACAGTTTCCTTATTGTGAACTGTGCGATAATGATAATAAACAATCAAATTGTAGACAAATGAATGTTTTGGTTTTGTACAAGTGCCCTATTTCCTGATTTTGGCAAATCTTTAAAGTAATAAACGACAGGAGAAAGAAACGCTACGATTTTCCCATCGATTTTTCAGCTAAAAACACATCGACAGAGCTGGTATGTTTATAAACAGCGATTTGTTTATTTAGCACTCGAGAAAAGTCAACTCAAAAACTTTAACTAAAACGGTGGTTTGTTCACTTAAAAATAAAGATAGATGAATTTTTAAGTTAAAATTGATATATTTAAATGAATCAAAACTGAAGTAGAGACCAAACACGTCGAGTTTTGTCCCAATAGCGTGCGATTTACAGTAGGAGTACAGCAAGAAAAATGGCCTAACTCCGTGAAAATGCACGCTATATATTTTGGTCTGGCGCGCTCGCTTTTCACGGGCCAAAAATAATGTTTTTACATGATAAACATGAATAATTTCTCGTTGAAAAGAGCTCTTTTATTTTATGTACATTGGTATACCCCCGATGTTATGGTCGTCTGAAATATAGCAAAATTAAGCGTACAAACGGAATAGAAAATATAGTGTATTTCACGCGGGTGGTTACAAACGAAAGAAAGTTCAGTTAGAAATGAAATATAGTTGCAAAGCCACTCCGAGGGATGAAAAATAACTTATGAAAAAAATGAATCCAAGATAATTTTTCGCCGTCTTGTACGAGCGTTGTGAAAATGGACTGAAAGCCTAATAGAAATTATGCAAATTAGGTACGTTTTAGCCGATTTCGAACTTTCGTATTTTTTTCCAAAATAAAAACTCCTGGAACTTTTGAGTATTATTTTTAAAAACGATTCACCAAAAGGGTCTTTTGGAGCAAATAAAAAAAAGTTGAATTTTTGCTTCTGTCGCCGGATTCTCGAAAATTACTGACAATCTCTCTTAAAATTTTTTAACTACCGCAAACATGATGTGGATTTATTCCATCCACCCATTGACCTTGTAAAACAAAATTCTCTTAATTCTGTTGATTGCAAACAGTGTTCTCTTAAAGTTGGTTCCAGTACGAGTCCAACTAAGCCTGCCATCAAGACACCGGTACTGGGTCCAAGCGAGAGAAAAGCGCGCGAAAACGCCTTGCCTTGGACGTCATCACCGCCGGTGACCACAAGAAACGTATTGAGGTAAAGGCTTCCTGCCAAAAGCCCCATATTAAAAATGAGTAATAAAACAATCCAGACACTGTGGAGAAAGCGATACCACGACGTTAACGTTAAGAAAATGAACAAACCCAAAAGCACTGCAGATAAAATCCATGTTCTTGCAATAACAGGCGTGCATTTTGAGTTAAGAATGAACAGGATACTTAGGTAAGATCTACCGATGCATTCTCCGATCATAAACACACATGCGTAGTAAACAAAATGGTTCCTCGGATCGAAAAAAGAGTTTGGAAAGGCCAGAGTTGTAACAACGCCATTGAGAGTCAAAAACTCAGAAAAGTAACCCACGAAACAGGCCAACATAAGGTGTGAGTTTTGCCAGATTAACGTTTTTTTCTCTTCGCAAGATGGGTTATCTTTCACTGGCAAATTTTCAGAGGTAAGTACGGTATAAGAGACTTCTTTATGGCTTATCGTGTCTCCCTGTGGCTTGAAACGTCTCCTCTCTATTGTGATGTAAAAAGGAAAGATAACTGCAGGCATCCAAGAAATGATAAGGACAGTCGTTTCCGGAGGCAGGCAAATTAAAGTTGTCATTGCTATAAAAAAAAAATTATAATTAGAAGAGAAGAGCTTCGTCATTTTTTAATTGGATAAATTATTACGAAAAGATCAAAGTAAGAGGTGCGTGAAAAAAAGAGAATTTCTTCGAGCTTTTTTACCAAGTGCTTTTAGAGAGCCTCATTTCAAAAATTTGGGGGACAAAAAGTCACTAAAATGCTTTCTCAAAATAACAATTTTAAAACTTTTCGCATCAAATTGGAAATTTCATTTCAGATATGAATGTAAAAAAAGGTTTTCATTTGGTTTCTTTTGGATAATTTTTAGCATGTGGCGACACAGTGCAGATTCGGAATCAAGCTGACCCAAAACACCTACAATGCAGGCTCTTATCTTCAACTTTGGACCCAGTACTTCGCTTTTTTTCTACCACAAAGACCGTAAAGAGACAATGTTTAATAGCACCTGCACAACAATTGATGCGGTTAGCGCTATCTGTACGTTAGATTGGTAAATATAAGCTTGCAGTGCACAAAATTATCTAACAGATTTACTTAGTGATAGAATCACACCACTTGAACCGCATCCAACACAGCTGTAAACTGCTGGACTGATTCGGAGATGAAAAAAGCTTTGGTAAAAACAATCGCACGAGAAAAAGAAGAACAATATAAGTTTTTCACTCTATTCATCAATCTATTGTATGAAAGAAATTCCATTTTCATTTTTCAATCCACTGAAGAGTATTGGAAAATTCATAACTAGTTTATCACAAAAATAAATTCCATGACAAATTAACTTTATGATGTTCTATCGCCTTCTTTGAGGCAAAAAAAAAGGTTAAAAAATTCAAAACAATTTGAATTTGGTCGGAACGTTTTCTTTCGAATCTGATTGATTCATAATCAGCTACAAAGGACAGGTGATACAAATGAATTATTTCTTCCATAAGATCATGGCCACAACCTTTGGGTGAAAAGCTAGTCGAGGTGAATTATTTTAACCAAGTTTCTGGAAGCGAGATTTTAAAAAATATGATTGATTTTTGTGACGATGCCACTGAAATAATTTCATAACCTGGCCTGTTCGTATCTCAACCAAAACCATTGATCGTTGTTTGAAAAAAATTAAATAAATAAATAGATAAGAATAAAAAAAAAGGTTCGTTGACTTTTTTGGGGTTCAATCGACTCGCACGCCAACAGAATATGCATACAAGGCTTAGAATCTAACCAAACACAGGCGTCAACCTTTTTTTGCCTTTCATTGATTTTTTTCCGGATTTCTTACCGGTGTAGTACAAGGGCCCAGCAATGAAACCAACGCCAGTTCCCGCTGAATACGAACTCATCGCCGTGTCGCTGTATAACGCAGTCATCGAGACGAAAGTGACCTCGCCAATGGCGACCCCAGTGGACACCACGATGACTCCAGTGACCCGAAGAAATACGGCCTCAACCAGAGCGTATAACAACACGCCGGTGATACCCAGCCCTACTACTGGCACCAGAAGAGCTTTGTGAGACAACTTTAAAACGAAGCACGGCAAGACAGAGGTAATTACGAAGAAAGGCAGCGAGGCAGAGATTAACAGAACAGGAGTGGGTAGTAAAGTTTCTTCCAAGATGTCTTGAGATGCCGAAATTCCAATGGAGAAAAAAATCTGGAGGATGAAACCAAACACCCCAAAGGCAAGTATGTGAAATGGTCGATCGTCTCCAATCAGTTGGCTCATTTCATTCTTGTTTCGGACAGGATCGATTTCGGAGTCCGAGCCAGATGAGTCAACTGTACATGTCCCCTTTACATTGTCCATTGTTGATCGAAAAAAATTTCCTTTCAACTGTTTTGTTTAGAAATTGCACCACAGTTGATAAATTTTGGACAAGTTGTGTTTTATCTCTTCCATCACAAAGAGATATACTTAACCATCTGTTCAGAAAAGCAACCTCGAGTTGTCCAACCCGGATTAACATAAGTACACTTGCCGGCAAGGGTTGATAATCAAGTTTATATTGATTGCGGGTTTCTGTGTTCTTGCCCTCAGTTCTAGGCCGCACAGCATTTCACAGTTTTTGTAATGAGCTGTGGACAGGCCTAACGCTTGAATTGTTAAATGAGCTGTTTTCGTTTTAACCTGTTAACCCTCTCTTTCACGGGTGCTTAACCTTGTCAGGGAGTTTACGTTTCGATCTTTTTAATTTTCACACCCCACTATTACCCGCAACTTATTTATTCAACGGCGGTAATTGTCACTTTCAAAATGAAAAAATGTGTGTTCTACCTAGTACCGCATTGCCAAACGCAAATGAAGGGTTCTTGAGCAACGTGGCGTGGGTCAGACAGCAGTTAATTGGCCTCTGGCTACCTGCTACGGTGAATTTTCCGCAATTTTCACCCCTAGAAGCTTTTCTTTCTTCTGTGGCGCTGAAAAGCTCTCTAGGTAATCATTGTAATGTACACTGATGTGACTTACTTCACATTTTGTATCATATTTTTGCAATTAAACACTCCCAGTGTTCATTTCGAACCTGTGACCAGGTGAACCCGTCGTTTCAAGTATACGCTGTCACTCCTGCCAGCGCTGAATCGAAGCCTCAGCCAGTGGAATGCAGTATTCTGTTGTTCTTTCAATTTGTTCCCCTACGAGACGAAGGGGAAGGTGATAAAAATAGGTATATTGGTAGCGGGGTAACGTCAATACGTATTGACTAAATTAATACATAGTAAAAGTATGTTAACGGCGTAAAATTATCACCGACTGGAGGAAATCACGCCGTTGGTGAACAGCGTAAAATCTTACAGGACGACCACCCATGGTTTGATGCCTACTCTGGTTTAAAGATTTAATGAATGTAACCGAGAAGTTACAATTCATAGACCCAAAGTTTCCTACAGTCCTGTCTAGTACCTTCATCAGGAGTCTAATCGTTGTAACAAGAGGTCATTTAATATGCTCACAAATTAGCTGCCCTTTTTCCTGACGAGGTGTAAATAAGCCCCAGGTGGAAAGCCGCCATCATCACGATTTTAAGGAGCGTGGGTGGAGCTGATATGTCAGGCTTCCAAACAAAGGCGCTGGTGGTAACGTCAATAAGTGGTGATAATTAGAATCATCCCACTCAATTGTATGGTTAGTTAAGCATGTGTGCTCCAACAAAGCTAATTTTCTTTTTCATAGACCGCTTTTTGATGCTCTCTCAAAAAGGTCCTATAGCCATAAACTCAGCCGCCACAAACTATTGCCGCAAGGTCTTTTCAGATTATTCTTACTTTTCTTGTTTAAAAACAAGAAAAGTAAATTTTTTAAAAAACTATTTGTGTAAAATTTAAACAAATGAAATACCATTGCGTCGCTGGAGTGAAATTAAAAGGGTTTGGTCACTTGTCAGAAAGACTGCAAGTAAGTCAAATGTAAAAGCCAGGACCATGCTCAACCGATATAGCGTACTCCAACGTTTATGCATCGCCGATGTTTCATTGGAGTCCCTCGTCAGATCGAGAAAATTACGGTATACATATGATCTGTCAAGCCACCTGAAAAAAATAAGGAGAACTAATTAAATATCTCGAAATAGGATAGTTTCTTGCCGGAGTTTCAAGACTTGCTAATGAAGAATAGCCTGAGCCATCAGTTAGGACAACTTCCTTAAGATCCAAGGGTGATAAAAAAACAGCGTCGAAAACGTAAAATATTAATACAGATTTAAATATCATTTAATTTTCAAAAAAGATTTATAAGTGTCCACGCAGAGTATGATAT